GGAGGGAGAGGGAGATGGAAACAGTCGGGGTGGTGTGGGGTAGATAAAGAGTAAGGGGGAGGAGAGGGGGGACAGAGAGGGGAAGTAAGATTGGAAAGTGTTTGTCCGTGGCCTATATCCTGGTGCAGGATGAGAAAGGCAATGATGAAGACGAATTAATTAAACATTAAACATTAAGTTGCTAGAGAGTCAGAGGGAGGGAGAGGGGGTAAGGGAGAGGGAGATTGAGAGGGTCGGGGTGGGGAGGGAGAGAGAGAGAGAGAGAGAGAGAGAGAGAGAGAGAGAGAGAGAGAGGGGAGGGAGGGGAGAGGGGAGGAACAGGGGAGGGACAGGGGAGGGACAGGGGAGGGAGAAGGGGTGAAACAGCAGAGTGCAGTAGCTTGTTTCTTTTTTTTTTAAGCAGTGGTAATTTAAATGAGTATGTATTTTCTTGTCACGGCTGTTGTTGTTGTTGTTGATGATGTTGTTTTGTTGTTGTTGTTTTATGAACACGTCCCTGTTGTCATTGTTGTTGTTGGAAAATTTGAATGGATGAAGGTAAGAATTACCTACTTTATCTCTCTTTGCGACACATCAGAAGCAGTAGAGTTTTACTTTTTATTGGTGTTTTAATTTAAGGGAACAAAGGATATTGGTTTTTCGATGGAGATCAAATTAATTGATCTTTTACAAGCGATATTGTATCAGTCATCAAAATAAGGAATAGGGGTAGTTGAAATCGTGCAGAATTTTCGTATTAAATATGTTTAATTTATAACAAATCTCGACATATTGGGTTTCCGGCACATCCTGTGGTACAAAAAGGGATCATACATTCTATGGTTCAATGATAAGGTATTGAAGATAAATCTTTATAGACAAAATATTATACAGTGCACCCTATATATAACGAAATTCGATAGAACGACATCCTCTGTATAGCGACGTGGTGCCCATATCCAGATTTTTTTCCTTATATATCATTAGTAACTTTTGGTTGCCTCTCTATAACTACAGCTCTCTATAACGACATTGTTTCGTCATAGAGAGGAGGCACTGTAGATAAAATATTGTAGACAACAGGCGGAGGTCTGCTCACCAGTGGCTTTGTGTGTGCCCATGTAGACCGCCCCATACGTGCCCTCGCCGATGGTCTCGCCCAGTGCCCACGTCTCGCTGGGGTCCTCCAGCTTGCTAAAGTCAAGCACATCGCTGGTGTATGAGTACAGTTTGAACATTCTGGTCGCCGACAAGGGAGCACGCGCATGCGCGCGCCTGATGGGGCACGAGGGGTGGAGGGATCAAAGGTCACTTGTGTGGAGTTGGCTTAGACGCTGGACGCCGACTTAGATGGAAGGAGGGGGTGGCGAAATCGGGACTCTCTCCAGAACCTGACGGAAATAAAGAAATGTGCAAAACGATATTGGATTCAGGTTTTCTTGAAAAAGAGTCAAAGAAAGTTACTGAGGATCAGGTGGAATGACAGGGTCACCAACGAGGAAGTGTTAAGGAAAAAAGACAGATCCCAGTCAGAGATGAGATAGGAAGAAGGCAGTGGCAATGGATTGGACATACTCTCAGGAAGTCAGGCAGCTGCATTACAAAGAAAATGTTCGATTGGAATTCACTGGGTAAAAGATCAAAGGGAAGACAGCGTGGAACCTGGAGAAGAAAAGAGTAGAGGAATATGACAATAGTAAGGATTAGAAAAGAAAAAGCAGCAGTTCCCTGTTATAGATCAGGCACAGTTATGAGCGTGACATGATGAATCAGCCCATTTACAATTCTACTGTGCATGAACGAGAAATGTCCCCCCTTTTGGGAATAGCCTAAAGACACTTTAGTTCGCGGTACTGCCCCGAGGGGTTGACATTGGATTCACGTCTCTCGCAACACAGCAAGGTTATATAGAAGCCGGACCTCCGAATTTACCCTCAATCTCTAATAGGAAAGAGTTAAATGGGAAACTCGTGTTAAGTGCCTTTTCCAAGGACAAAACGTCGGATTGAGCTAAGCCTCGAGTCCTCGCATCCACATTCTCCTGATTACGAGTCCAGAAACCTAACGACTAGAGTACCCACGTCACAACGATGGTAGTTAGAAATGGAGGCATGCCAAACACTGCATAAAGAAAATACACATATCAATGGTGCTCTGGGGCGGGGGGGAGGGGGGAGATTTCTTGAAAAAAAAAGTTCAGGCTCAAAAGCATTAACACGTTTGTTATGAAGTAGTGAAAATGAAGTAGTTCTTAAGTAATTCTTTTTTAACTTAAAACTTTAAAAGTCATCACCCTTGTTACGAATACCTATCTACTTCCAACACATCATTTCAAAAAATAAAACCAAGAAAAGGGCGCTCCATAAGCTCAGTTGGCATCATGCAGACTACGTCAACAGGCCCCAATTTGTCTTCGCCCTACTTCAGATAGACGTTAAATTAGGGCGCTGGCCTTTGTAGCAACATTTCAGTGTTGAACGGAGTTTTTAATTTTTACAATAACCATTTTTTTAAAGTTAAGAAGTGCAAATCAAAATACAAGTAAGGTTACCTTTCTGCAAAACATAGCCGTCACAGTGCCAACGTGCTGGAAAACCCCGTTGTTCTAACGTCTAATAAATAAACTACATGGAAATCTTTCCCATCGACACAAAAGCGCTTTTATACTGAGCCAGTCAGACCCAGGGATGACATGAACATTGTGTACTTATTGATGACGCAGGTACATCACGTTTTCAGTCTTTCCAAGATCAAATCAGATACTCCTACAGGCAGTAATAGACACTTAAATAACGTCTCCATCTTCTTAAAGCAGCATTTTTGCTAATCGTTACAGATCTACCCGCCCATGGGTGTGTCAACAACGGTGCAATTTGTTTATTGAATTCTGTCCAATTGTGGCCTGCAGGGTAGAACAGAATATCTTGCAGACATAAGGCTACTACAATGAACTAACAAAAATAATATCCATGTACTTTTTCAGAGGCAGTGTATCTCAAACCTAGGAGGATCAAAACCGTTTTTGGGTAGTGTGAGTAAAGCTTTCAGAAAAAGGAAACATGAACATGTAGCTACAGGTGAGTGTGAATGTGATGCCCGTAATATACGTAAGTGCACCACCAAGGCAAAGTCTGAAGTAATATCTTACGATACAAATCAATCATTAGGAAAATAGAAAGTGGAAAGTGACGAAATGAAGTTTCTTCGTATTGATATGTAAGACCTTCTATTTCATCTTGACGGGGGATTGTAAGATGAGTAATCTTACTGACAGAATAAGTATCCTTCCAACTATCAACATCGGAATCCAGAACAGGTCAAAACATCGCGCCTGTTCCCCGCCTCGTGTCTGGAGACGGGGCCAGGTATCTATTTTGAAGCTGCTGCGTATGTCAGTGCATTGTTTTCCCTTATCTCATTGGGTTTTTTTGCGTGTTTTTTGTGTGTGTGGGTTTTTTTTGGTGGTTGTATTTTAGGGAGCGCAGCTTACATCTAGAGATAGCCGAATGCACTATGACTGATGCTGTGACAGAATATAGATTGATGTATTCATAACGCCCAGCCATCACAGACACTAACGAGCTTTCTATCGACGCTACACTTCTCGGAGTAAAACAGCGTTGGTTCCCCGAATGGTTAAAAAATTCGCCCAATGAACAGGAAATACTGAGTGGAATGTGAAGGTAACTTTAAAAAACAGCTAAATTTCGTCGGCTTAGTTTTTAAAAACCCATATCACACCTATTTTTTAAAATTGTAACTATCATCGATTGATCGTGAAATGACCAAACGGTTTACGCCTACGACGAAAAAGGAGTAGCTAATTTTGGAGGTGGGCTGCTTCAACACTGTCAGGCCAGGTCAATCTGGGCAGAATGGAGTTGATCATCTCAGTAGAAAGATAGAGACACAGAATTACATAAGCTTTCTCACTCGGGAATTGACCCCGGACCCTCTCTAATCTCTGAGCAGGGCAATAAGTCTTACCATCACAACCAGATTCCGATATAATGTTAAGCCTTACATCTGCACCACAGGTGCTCTTCTGGTACAAATCCAGCCATTATGGCCAACGTCCATTGAAGAAAGTTTTAAGGGGCTAAAATTTTCTTCAGCTCTAGAAATAAGTCAGGGATTCGAACCGGAATCACACACATTGTTCTATAGTAGCATAGTATGCCATCATTATGACCAACTGACTAATAATAGCGCTTCACGCTATAGCTATTTTTACCGCCAGTTAGCATGAACATACTCTCCATAACAATAACAGAAATAACAATATCGTGATTTGGTTCACTTACAAACCTACGCACATCAATCATCTTCCTCATTTGCCACTTATCTGCGGGGTTTTTTGTTCTTTCTTTTCAATAAAAAAAAAGTTAACAAGCATCATACATATGCCATACGATCTCATAGAACACTGTGCATTAAATGTACACATTTATTATCATTATTATTTTAGTTATTATTAATATTTTTTAGTAGTAGTAGTAGTAGTAGTAGTAGTAGTAGTAGTAGTAGTAGTAGTAGTAGTAGTAGTAGTAGTAGTAGTAGTAGTAGTTGTAGTAGTAGTAGTAGTAGTAGTAGTAGTAGTAGTAGTAGTAGTAGTAGTAGTAGTAGTAGTAGTAGTATTGTTTCTATCATTATTATTATTATTATTATTATTATTATTATTATTATTATTATTATTATTATCATCATCATAAAACATGACACATATAATATGTATAAAATTTAATGATGAGCAGATAAGCATCATAAATATATATATATATATATATATATATATATATATGTATAATCAGCATGTATACTATTATACACACATATGTGGTTGTATGTGTGTGTATATGTGCGTGAACGTGTGCGTGTGTGTGTGCGCGTGTGTGTATATGCGAGTACATGTGTATGTGTGAGTCGGAGTATTTGTGTGTGTGCACACACATATACAGAGAGAGAGAGAGAGAGAGAGAGAGAGAGAGAGAGAGAGAAAGAGAAAGAGGGGGGAGAGGGGGGGAGCGAGTTCAATCTCCCATCGACACCCGTCAGGCAGCGAACAACTTCGGAAACTGGCGTGTAATCGATTCCGTCACCTCTCTCAGGCCTGTGAGGCGTCTTCTTCAATCATGAAATTATTTCTAACGTTTGTGATCGATATTCTCCCGATGCTCCCTCCCAGTTATCCCGCAGCACTTCAAAGAGATTTATCCGCACCAATAGCAAGGCGATTCACAAACGATTCTAACTATAGCGGTGAAGTCCGCTTAAACATAAATCAGTGAGATTACGGGATTTTCTTCGGTTTAACCATGATTGTCGGTTTAGAGAGGTTGCTTGAATAGAAGAAAAAAATCGGGTACGGTACTTTCTTTCGGTTTACCTCTGTGTTCGGATTAACCGTGTTCTGTATAAGTGGACTCTGCTGTATATTATTCTTACAGCGGAAGCTAGACGTATCTGTTCACGATTTAAGGTGCTTTCCGTCAAATGCAAACAATAGTTAAAAGTATAATTTAAGACGTCCTTCTCTAAAAAAAGCAAACAAAAAAAAAAGTTCTTCCACTCATGATGACCTACAAAATGTCCTACTTCAAGCAAAGAGCCCCGATGTGCAAAGAAGGGTCAAGTAAGCTCCGAATGAAGAAGTTAAGTTTAATTTTACTCATTCAATGCGCGGTGAAGCGTTGCTAATAGTTTTCTGAAAAATCTGTTCATGTATTATATATAATGTATTTTCTCTTTAAAATGCATTAAGCCGTATATTCTAATATTTCGCCATGAACTTTAGGACTGCAAGCAACTCGTTATGGAAAAAACCGAGTTTGATTGGCAGGAGCCCTGTTGTGATTTTCTTCTTCTTTTCTACCAAACATAATTCAAATTATATAACATCGTCTTTATTTATCCTTCCACATCTCTCTGTATGTTATTCACCAGTAAAACCTATCCTTCAATTCGACAATAATTCGTATGACTTATTTGTATTGCAGGTGCCGTAAAACTCGCAAAAACAAAAACAGTTATTAAAAAACCAAAACAAAACAAAAACACCGAGTGTGAGTTAAGAAGTAGGAATTAATAGTGGCCCCCTGGCAACTACCCTCGCAACATTTTGCCATAGGGATGTTGCTGTTGCTGTTGTTATTGTTGTTGCTGTTTTTGTTTGTTAACATTGTCGTTGTTAACACAGTAGAATTCAAGCGTTTGCGCTCGGCGCGATGCCATGTGAAAAAGGTGGAGGTTTTATATATTACATATTACATTGTTGTTGTTCTTCGCTGCAGTATGGGGTGGTAGGGACGAGAGGAAGAAATCGTTGTTGGAGAAAATAGTTTGGGGCACTGGCAAGCCTTTATTAAAGGGTCAACAAAGACTCAAAAGCTAA